CGTGGGAATCTGAGAACCATACAATTGAAAACAGCTAAGGCAATATTAAAAAAAATTTGATGATGATTTACTTCCGAATACAGACAAAACATGGCTATTTTCACACAAAGACATTATGTAGGAGACCTAAGCCTAAGATTTTAAAAACATACAGAGCAAATTAATATAAATCAGTAACAATCTCACCAAGAAAAAAATACCCATCAACGTTTCGATAAAACCATTGGGTATCATGGAGTGATGTTCGATTTGCTGGTTTTTTTTTTTCCTGGTGATGTCTGAATTGGGGAAACATTGTCAGTTTTTTTATCTTTGCTTGCTTTTTGGAGAGATTAGGCGGTGTGGTTAGAATTTTTTGAATTATAACCATACCCAACAAAGTCATTTAATTAGATAAATTCTTTAAATCCAGTAAAAAAACAAAGAACTAACTCTCGAGATCAAAATAAATAAAACAAGTTATCAATTATTATTTCATATAGAAATCCTTAAAATTATTGTGGGTTTACTCATCCTATTATGTTAAATCGGGCGATTGGAAAAATGTGATGTCAAGACTACCTGTATGTTTCCTTTCCAATAAATATATTACCAACAATATATTAAATCATGTTAAATTAATAAGAAAAAGGAATGAATCAAATAGATTAATTAATCAAATATAGAGGATCTATTCGCTATACAGCTACTATTTATCGGTATTTTATCATCATTTATTCAAACCTATACTAAAATGTAAGGCTCTTTTAAATGCTGCTCTTTCGATTTAAAATTATGTAATGGGATCCAAAAAAGTAATTTTTTTAATATAAAATCTTTATACCAATGTTTGTTTTCACTTGTTACAACCTTATAGATTATTTGATTTGAAGTATGAAAAATTATTGTAAATTAATTAAGTAAAAACACATTTTTACTTTAAGAGAGCATTAACATAAAAATTAAAATTCTTTTACCATTTTTTATAGGAAATTTTTTTTATGAAATTTGTTTATCTTAATAACCTTACGATACACACTGCTAAGTTTTGGCCCGGTGTTGAGATGTGTAATATTATTGGTTGTGAAGTGGAAGCCTAAATAGGTCAAGGACTCAACTAAAAAATATTATAACTTTTTTTTTAATTTTAAACTTATTCGTTACTTCACTTAAAAGATACTTCATTGAAATATGTTATTAGATTTTTTTGTATTTTGGAACCCGATACCACAAAACCAAAACCTTAGCGCACAGAGTTGGAGACATAGTGAAGCCGATGTTTTCGAACTGGTTAGTAGTAGGACAGGATCACACTGTTTGCCTCAGCCCGTAACTTCTGATGAAACTTAGCCCAATTGTGAAACTTCTCCATTCGTTTTTACACACTCGAAAGTTTTTTTTTTTTTTTTACTTTTTTCTCCTCTTTATTTTCATTTCTTCACTTCCTTCTGAAGGAGTACTTTCCGACGTTATTGCGTTTTCTACTTAAGGTAATGTACATTTAAATCGGACAAAGAAACCAAATGAAAAAGGCAAGTTTTTTTTTTTTTTTTTTGAGGAAACTATTGTGGAAAACGTAACTCCGCGAATTCATGGGTATTATTTAATATGATATTTGACTAAATGAAATAGATAAGTTTCTATATTAAACCAATTTGTTACATGGTATGCGGCGCTGATGATACTCGACCCGCAACGCATCTTGGTTAAAGAAATATTTTATTGAAATTTGGTGAACCATGCTTAATAACATAAATTAAACAATCTTAAAAAAAGTACATTTTTAAAAATATGCTTCCTACCTAATACAGAAACAACAAAACTCTACACGACTATCGACCAACTATATGTACTCATTATTCTCGTTTCCGTAATATTGACATAACAACAGACTGAATAACGAATTGGCTGCGGCTAATGTGCCCAATAGAGAACGATTAAAAAGTAGTTGGATGAGAGATCTTTAATAGTAGAGAAGAGCTGCTACTGGCTAATATCGTTCCCAATGTCTTTAACACCGTAATCATCACTTTTCAGCTCATTCGCATATTTTCACCCTCTTCCGTAATAGGTATGAATAGAAAAATGAAGAAGAAGAAAACTGATTTAGGCCGGAAAACCTGAAAACTATAATGACTTAGATAGAGAAAAGTTAAAACTCTTCGATTTATTAATTTTCATTATAAACAAACAAAATAAGGAATAACTTTCACTGCAACAAATATTAACACGAATATCTGTTTACGATTTCCGATATTACAAATTAATTGAGTACACATTTATTGTAATGAATGTGGCATTGTATTATAGATTTTGTATATATAAATTATCGTCACCGATTCAAAGGGCGTCCTACAGGCACTTAGCAACCAGAGACCAAAACACTCAGCAATAGCTGAAATTTTAAACATCGTGTGGGAAAGTGTAGAAAAAGGCTGTGATGTAGCTTTCATTTGGGATTAAAGGGAACAAAAAAGCAGACATCGCTCCTCAGACAGCCCAAATTGCCAACAGCAGTGAAATAAAAATATTGAATTGTGTCCATCGGAAAGATTGGGTAAGGAAGTTCAAATCCTTGTTGGTGACTCAGTGGAATGATGCCTAGAGGAGCTGTCATTCGAAACTACACCAGATAAAAGAAAAGGGCTCAAAATGGAGCATTAGCAGCTGGGTGTCAAGATGAGAGGAAATAATATTGTGCCGCCTTATTTAGGATCGCCATTGCAAGTTCAAGCATGAATATCTTCTCCGAGGTCTGGGAGCACCAACATAAGTCGCCTGTGGTGCTCCTAGAACAGTCGCCCACTTATTGGTAGAACGCCAGCAGTATGGACCAATAAGAAAAAAATTGAAGATGAGTTCCAATATACGAGAAGTCCTAGAAGACATAGAAAAAGGTGTCCAATCTCTTATAAAATTCTTGAAAGAAATTAAATTTTACCACCGAGTGTTGAAATATAAGAAATGCCAATAAACCTTCGGGATTGAGGCATAACCACAATAAAAAAAAAATTGTAAAAGAATCAAAATTAGTATTCAATATCAATCGAAAAGGTAGAGTATGAGAAATAATATATTTAATTCTTTTTATTTATCATTCATAGAGGGAATTTTTGAAAAAAAAAAAAAAATTGTTTGAGATAGTTTAGAATAAGGATGAAAAAAACAAACAATATAAATACGACAGTTTTGATTTTTATGAGAAACATTTCAAACCATAACAGAGGAGTGGGGAGAATTCGAAACGCACTTTTAGTGGGGATTTAAAAAGACAATATGGCGGCATGGTACAAACAGTAAATACAGCAAAATGAAGTGCTAAAATTGATAAATAAATAATAAACTAAATTAACTAAAATTCCGAACAATTCTCTAACGAATCTAGTAAGTTTTGGATCCACTAATAATTTTTAGAATCAGCAATGTAACTGTTCGAAAATTGTAGTAAATTTTAAATAAGTTAATAGAGCTATGGAAAAAAGAACTGTGCTAGAAATAAATGGATGTGTCGCTAGTTCGTGCCCTGACTCTGAATATCAATGCTAATAAGGAACTAAGAGATTTAGCCAGCCTATAATATTTCGCTCTTCCGTCTAACTTATCAGGGCAATGATAGGTACCCATTCTTACCTACTTACAATAAACTTGGACTGAATCATACAAGATATCAAATTTTCAACTTCGAAATAAAACTAAACTATTTTTGGAAAACATAAAAAACAAATAATTTGAAATGAAACATGCAAAAATTTAACGATGTATGATCAGATCTCAACGTTTGGCTTTTCGTCGGTCGTAACACTTTTATTTTTTCAAATTAATAAAAGAACTCATAGGGAACATACTTCAACAAGTGGCATAGGAATAAGCATGCGCAGTAGACTCAGAGCTCACAAATAAATTAAAACAATAATATTTGCAAAAAAAATGAGCAAATAAACATTTTCTAAATAAAGTAGATATAGCTAAGGCAAACAGTTTAATTTTAATCTAATACAAATATAGACCCAATATTTTTACAGACAAACAAAAAAATTAAATAATAATAAAAATAACACCTCCGAAACTTAAGCACGCGAATAAAATACATTTAAAAAAATCCCTATTTATAAGACAGAAAAGAGAAGGTATAGTATAGGAGCGTGTAAGAGAGTGCGATTTGAGTGTTGGCACATAGCATTGGGCAAGTCTTTCTTAAAACTTTCGACTACTGAGTTGCAAAGCTTTCGGTTGGCCCGAAAATAGATACAGGAATACTTGAATGAATGACTAATAACACTAATATTATCGATCCGAATTCATTTATTATTTTCAAAATTCTTATCATGTATATGACATAATGGAATTAAGCCAAAAATCATCACATAACAATTTTATAATAAGATTATCGTACAAAATACGAAGAAAGACATTGAGAAAAGTTTTAATAATTGTTATATAAAACATTAAACTATGGAATGTCGTTCACGCTAAAAATATTTAGAATATTTTCGATACGATTATAGATCGATTATGAAAACAAAACTTGTATGAATTGATTTCTGACAAGCACAAACAGGTCTAACGAATAATAATAATATTTTAACTATATTTTATTTAAATTGTTATAGGTTTTTGTTTCGTTTAAAGGCGAACAATTTTATATCGGTATGATGTTTGACAATTTAAGATTATCAGGCCACTTATAAACAACTCGTAAATATAAGAACGCTTTATCAAGATTCTTATCAACTTTTCGATGTTTATATGTTGCTGCGTATCTCTCCGATAGTATTTTTGCCAAGGTGCACATGTAGTAAAATATCTTTGAGAAAATCGTACACTTGAGAGCGTTATATTTTGTGAAAAAGAGCCAGATTGTGAAGTTTTGAGCTAATTATGATTAGATTAAAAAAAAAATAACACAACTTTTACTTTTATGTGCATTTAGACATACGTTTGAGGCACTGAGAAAAAATATGAGCTCTGAGTGACCGAGAGAAGAAAATAAGCCTAAAATAAATAAGTATGATAAGACTCACCTTCAAGCTTCATACCGACGTCGAGGCACTTCTGGAACCGGCAGAAGGGGCATCGCTTCCTCTGGGTCTTGTCTATATGACAGCTCCTTTCCGCAACGCATGTGTACACTTTCTTATTTTGGACGGTCCGTTTAAAGAATCCCTTACATGACTCGCACGTGAGGAGGCCGTAATGGTAACCGGAGACCTTGTCCCCGCAGACGGGACAGAGCTCCTCGATGCCCTCCTTGGTGTCGGGCAGCTCGGAGCCCTGCTGGAGGATCGGCTGGAAGCCGGGAACCTGCTCCAGGCCGCCGCCGGTACCTGAGGGGGAAAAGAAACAAGCCTCTAAGTTGTATCCATAGCTGATCCCGGGGGAGTGCTGGGGAGCGGCTGAGGCCGTGATGGAGTACAGCGGCGGGGAGCCGTAGAGCGGCGAGTTGCCGCCCCCGCCGCCGCCTCCTGCCGCGGCGTCATCGCCGCTCCCGCCCGTGCTGGGCAGGCTGAAATGGGACATACTGAGAGAACCGAGGGTCGAGTGCTGCTCCATGTCTAATAACATATTCCCCCACTGTCACAAACACATAGCACATAAGCGCGGGGGCGGGGCAACACTGAACTGACACTGTGTACGGGGCGCGGGCACCGCATGGAATGAGCTCCCCCCAACAAGTGAAAGTGAATGGTGACCCAGTTGGGGGGAAGGGGTAGGGTGGGGAGGGCGTCCCACTGACCCACTTGTCTCCCCCCTCCTCCGCCTCCCCTCTCCTCCCCGTCGCTGCTACACACATACACACACATACACGCGCACGCATCCTCTCTAACCTACATCCATGTTTACTATATGCCACCAAATCTCCGTCTATAAAAAACGCCCAAGTCACCGGAACCCACTTTCACTGATAACGGGCGAAAGAGATTTCACAACTTTCCGTTTTCAAAATCCGGCCCGTCTTAGTTTTCCTTTCGGTTTCGTTTTACCAGAACACGTTCCTTTTCTTCTCTTCAGTCCCAGCCGACCTTGGATCAATAGAATCGCAATTTTATTTACGAAAACAATTTTCAAAAAGCTTATCAATTTATTTAACTATGTTTTGATTCCACTGATTTAACTAAATTAAAAATATTTAAAAAATCAAAATTGAGCGATCCTATTTTTTAACTTTTTATTTGCTTGACCTAATTTCCAACAAATATGAGTAATCTCTATTTTAAAAAGACGTTTTTTGGTGTTGTTTTTTTTAAATTGACCATTGTTAAATTTATTTGTGATAAAATATTTTATTTTTACACTTCTCAAGAATAATAATAAAATTATTTTAATGCGAATGAGCATAAGCTAATATTCTATTTATTTAATTATTCTTCATATTTAAGGATTTTTTTTAAAGCCACTATTAATCTATAAGAATGGATGAATAGTATATATATATATATATATATATATATATATATATATATATATATATATATATATTACCTTAATTTTATTTTTTATTTATATTGTTTTACTATTTTCTGATAATTTCAAATAATAAAAAACAATTAATTCTTGAAATTTTTCAAAATATTTACAACCAATACTGTCCATCACGAACAATATTAAACTTTTATAAATAATCCAGTATATCAGATGGCTATAAGTAAATAATAAAAAAAATTTTTAATTCCGTGAGTCAGTACCTAGCAACATATACCAATATAAGGACAGACATGTTTTTTGACAAACCCTAGGTTCATTTCCGATTCAAAAATTAAAAATGTATTAAAAAGATATATATTGAAAAACTAAAGCAGCACTCGACTAGGTTCCATAGAGCAAATAGCATAATACCTTCACAAGTTCAAATAGTCCCTGGTACAGACCCCTTTTTATCAAATTATTAACATCCGCCTGAAACTTCGTAAATATTTTTATATCATCGTAATCTACAAATATGTTATTTAGTTCTGACGGAGTTTAATAATTTAATAAAAAGGGATCTGTACCATGGACTAAGTTTTAGCGGTAATAAAAACATTAAATGATAAAAAATGATTTAAATTTGGAATGAATAAGAAAAAATCTAAATCGTCATATAAGTTCTAACACCTTATAACTTCATTTTTGATGGAAATGAGTTAGATAGGTATCTCGATTCCTGTTTTTTTTTCCAGTATAACCATGCATATGCAAAATTTAGGTTCGCAAGATTTTTTAGGTTGATATATGCTATAAATTATAGCATTAAAAGTTAAGTAAAATGATTAGACGGTGTTAAAACTTACATGATGAAATATTAGAGACTTAAAAAAAAAAATGAAATAAATATAAAAAAAACTAAACATTAATCTAGCTAAAACTAATAGAAAATGCAACTTATTTCATACATAAAAATATTAAAATAAAACAAACAAATTAATTTTAATTAAACAAAAAAAATACTGCAATGAATAGAATAGTTATATGTATTTATATAATTAAAATACAGAGAAATAAACAGATTAATAAATAGCTTATCTAAACACACATCAATCAACCTAGTTACCAGTTAACTGAAGTAAAATTTCAAATGAAAAAGTTTTTTAAAAACTCAAGGAAACATTTCCGAAACTGAAAAATAAGTAAAATAATAAGTAATGTTTAATGTTGTAATGTTAATGTAAGTATACATTAATAAGTAATGTTTTAATCTTTTGCTATATCCGAAAAAACAAACAAAAGAACTTCCTATTTTTCATTTCATCGATGGATTATAAGGTAATAGTTAAATAAATTAAACCGTAAACAAAAAAATGTAATCGAAAACCTATTTATTAATTTTTGAAAATGGAGCTGTAGCTTAATAAATAGGATATCTCATATTATGTTTCCATATCCAAATAAAAGAATCCCCGGTTGTTTAAAGAAAATAATTTAAACCATAGAATCATAATATAAATAAGCAAAGGTGAAACAGCTTAGTATAGTTTTCTCCTATGTTTTTCAATTGATTTTTCGTTTTATGTTTAGTAGCCATTGACAAGCTTGTGTTATCTTAAGCGTTAGTCTGATTGTGTTATAAGAGTCTGACTTTGGCAGTATTGAACGTCAGTTCGGGTCTGTGTTCATTTTTAATCCTATTAAGTTATACACTCCCTATAAAAGTGATTTTTTGTATACTCGTGTAATTCCTATTTAGGAATACTTTTACAAATTTCGGTGGTGTTCTGAAGAGTGTAAGAGCAGCTGTGAAGGAATACATGAAGAGGTATTTCGTTGGAAGTTTGCAGCCGTTATCGCTAAAATCTGCAAGAAATTTCCTGTCAGCCCCCTCTTCTGTCTCAGTCTCATCACAAGCAGGTCTCCAGCAAAATGGCCGGTGAAGTATTGGATTTAAATTACGCTATCAAGACTTTAAAGGAGGTTTTGGATTACAATCTCTTGAGAAAAGACCTGCGACCGAAGGTAGGAAAAGCTATCGAAGTGATGGAAAAATATGTAGGTAATCTTTGTGACCAATCATTTAGTTTGGAAATCGGGGAGGTTATTAAAAAAGACAACCTCTCTTTAAATAACAAAATTAGTTACTCAGCAGTTGCCCAAAGGGTTGTAATGAAAGCACAAAATCGAACAGCCCATAAGGCAATTATTAAACCTAAAATATCATTAGAACCGAATGAACTTTGTAACGAATTTAAGTCTTTAGTAAATCCAAAAGATTTACACATAAGTTTTCAAAAGGTTGTAGAAACAAAAAACGGATCATTAATAATACAGACCGACAGGGAGAAAGATCTCAACGAAATTGCTCAAACTATAAAAGGCTCAAGAAAAATATCATACCATAAAATAAATAAAATGAACCCTCGTGTTGTTGTGAGAAACATTGAGGAAGAAATAAATTTACAGAATATAACCGACTACATAACTGCTCAAAATGATGATATTCATTTACAAAAGGATAAAATAAGACCTGTGATTATCCTCACTACAAGAAAGAATAGTAGTCGGCATGCTGTTTTGGAGGTTGACGCAGGGACTCGAGAATTGCTATTATATAATAAAATCAGCCTCGGACATCAAAAGGTGAGAATTCAGGATTATTTCCAAATAAGAAGGTGCACCAAGTGCCTTAAATTTCACCATAGAAGCAAGGATTGCAGAGGGACGATAGCATGCTCGAACTGCGGAGGTCAACACGCGGTTAGTGACTGCACTTCTCAAGAAATGAAATGTATCATTTGTCAATACTACAACAAGTTCACTAAAAGCCAAAAGAAGCGCCCCACAGAACATTCTGTATTTGACCGAAACTGCCCGTCGTACTTGACAGAAATACAGAAATTGGCATCTAATACCAACTACAACATCCCTCTACAGTGAGTAATTAATAACCATAATATACACATATTTCAAAATATTATTGGGGACTGTAAACAATTAATTTTTAAGGATGGTACATAGACAATTAAACATGTTACAACTCAACACACATCATTCAAAATGCACATTGAACATGCTACAACAGTATATAAAAATGAAACAAATAGACGTTTTATTAATCCAAGAACCTTATACAAGATTAAATAAAATTGTAGGTTATAATCAGTCAAGGGTTTTTCAAACAATAGGAAGCAATCCCAGGGCTGGAGTCGTTGTGACCAATAAAAACATTGATGCCTGCATGATATTGCAACATTCTGATTGTGATTTTGTTTGCATAGAAATATCATACAGTGAATTAAAATGTATAATAATATGTGCTTATTTTGATATCACCCGAAACATAAATTTGGATTTACAAAAAATAGAACGCGTTTTGGATTATTTCAAAGATTCTAATATCATTATTGGATTGGACTCCAATGCAAGATCTAAATATTGGTTCGACAAACAAACTAACGAAAGGGGTAAAAATATGGAAACTTTTATTATTGAGAAAGATTTGTTCTTAATGAATATAAATTCCGAACTAATGACTTTCCAAGGGCCGCGAGGCAGTAGTAATATTGATTTAACATTATCTAATACAAAACTGATTAGACATAATATTGTAAAAAATTGGACAATTTCTAGAGAAACAAATTTTTCGGACCACAACATTTTGACTTATGAGTTACATTTACAGGGAAATGATAAAACTGGAGTGCTAGCAAAAGACTATATATATTTGACAGAGAATGGTGACTGGAATAAATTCTTGGCTAACTTAATACATCAGTTAGAAAAACAGTTTTTATCTCAACATTGTACTGATAAGAAGAAATTGACAGTTTATGATACCGAAAAGCTGATTCTTAATGAGTTTTCTCTTATGCCTACTGATATTATCATAAATAAAATGATAAAATCTATCGTAAAATCTTGCAATATAGCATTCAAAAGATCCGGCCATTTCAAAGGTCGAACTAGAAAAAGATCAGTACCTTGGTGGAACCCTGAACTAACTGGCTTGCGTAAAGAGACAAATCATCTAAGAAGAAATTACCAGCGGACAAAAGACGATGGACTAAGGGAATCAAGGAGAGTGATCTATCTCAAAAGTAGGCAAGCATATCAAAAGCTAATTAAAAGTTCCAAATTAAAGTCCTGGAAGACATTTGCTACTGCATCAAAGGCGTGGCAATGGCCATATAAGTTTGTATCCAATAAAATAAAACCTCAAACCTTACTCACTACCACTTTG